TCGATCTCTCAGCCCCGCACAGTTTCTGCTGAGCTCGGGATTCCAATTGCACAGGTTAAAACCATGGGTTCAGCCTCGTCCATTTGAATTCTGGGCATTAACTTGGATACAGTTGTTTTCCAGGCCTCACTGCACAAGAAAAAATCGATAGGATATTTTGATCTCGCCCACCTTCCCACTGTTTTAAAACGCGAACTGCTATCTTTGCTCGGCCACTTAAACTTCAGATGCGCATAATCCTGCAAGGATTTAATCTCTCACCACCTCTTCGCGTTTTTGATTAACGCGCAAGAAGACGAGCATCGGCCCACCAGGCCCCAACCTACTCCTCCCTTTGCTCAGCCTCACACCAGAGGAACTCAATTTGTCCAGGTAAATTTCTCCACTGCCGCAGCAGTGATGTCTTCTCCGCTCCCGCAGGAGCTCATTTCTCCAGGTAAGTTTTCTGCTCCCGCAGGAGCTCTGTTTCTCTGGACACAAGTTTGACCCATGCTTTTTGCTTAAAGTTGAAGACCCAACTTTGTGTATGTTTTGTAAAATTCCCTTATCTGTCAAACATGTTTTATTAGATTGTTCTGCCCTTCATGCAAGCAGAATGCTCTTTTATGAAGTTTCTTCATTGAAGGACATATTTAATGAGATTATGCCTGAAAAGGTTTTAGATTTTTTATCATGTTAATTTAAATATAAATATTATATAATATGACTTGTTGTTTATATTTGCTTTGTTTTTATTGTATTTATATGATATTTGTATTTTTGTGATTGAATTTTTGCCATGAAAATAGCTCTGGATGCCGACATGGCATTAAATAAAATAATCTGATCTGTTTCTCTGGCTATTTTCTCCACTGCCGCTGCAGTGATGTCTCCTCTGCTCCCGCAGGAGCTCTTTTTTTCTCCAGGTAAGTTTCTCCACTGCCACAGTAGTGACGTCTCCTCTGCTCCCGCAGGAGCTCTGTTTCCCTGGCTATTTTCTCCACTGCCGCAGCAGTGATGTCTCCTCTGCTCCCGCAGGAGCTCTGTTTCCCTGGCTATTTTCTCCACTGCCACAGTAGTGACGTCTCCTCTGCTCCCGCAGGAGCTCTGTTTCCCTGGCTATTTTCTCCACTGCCGCAGCAGTGATGTCTCCTCTGCTCCCGCAGGAGCTCTGTTTCCCTGGCTATTTTCTCCACTGCCGCAGCAGTGATGTCTTTGCTCCCGCAGGAGCTCTGTTTCCCTGGCTATTTTCTCCACTGCCGCAGCAGTGATGTCTCTGCTCCCGCAGGAGCTCTATTTCCCTGGCTATTTTCTCCACTGCCGCAGCAGTGATGTCTCCTCTGCTCCCGCAGGAGCTCTTTTTTTCTCCAGGTAAGTTTCTCCACTGCCACAGTAGTGACGTCTCCTCTGCTCCCGCAGGAGCTCTGTTTCTCTGGCTATTTTCTCCACTGCCGCAGCAGTGATGTCTCCTCTGCTCCCGCAGGAGCTCTGTTTCTCTGGCTATTTTTCCACTGCCGCAGCAGTGATGTCTCCTCTCCAGTACCTCACTATTCAGAATTAATATTCCTGTTAAAACCCCTACGTGATGCCTCTTTCTCTGTCCAGCGAGCATTGGTCTCCCAGCGGACGTTGCATGCATCTATGTTTCCTCTTTCTCTGTCCAGCGAGCATTGGTCTCCCAGCGGACGTGGCATGCATCTATGTTTCCTCTTTCTCTGTCCAGCGAGCATTGGTCTCCCAGCGGACGTTGCATGCATCTATGTTTCCTCTTTCTCTGTCCAGCGAGCATTGGTCTCCCAGCGGACGTTGCATGCATCTATGTTTCCTCTTTCTCTGTCCAGCGAGCATTGGTCTCCCAGCGGACGTCGCATGCATCTATGTTTCCTCTTTCTCTGTCCAGCGAGCATTGGTCTCCCAGCGGACGTCGCATGCATCTATGTTTCCTCTTCCTCTGTCCAGCGAGCATTGGTCTCCCAGCGGACATTGCAAGCATCTATGTTTTCTCCTTTTTCTGTCCAGCGAGCATTGGTCTCCCAGCGGACATTGCAAAGCATCTATGTTTTCTCCTTTTTCTGTCCAGCGAGCATTGGTCTCCCAGCGGACATTGCAAGCATCTATGTTTCCTCTTTTCTGTCCAGCGAGCATTGGTCTCCCAGCGGACATTGCATAATTCTGTCCAGCGAGCATTGGTCTCCCAGCGGACATTGCATAATTCTGTCCAGCGAGCATTGGTCTCCCAGCGGACATTGCAAGCATCTATGTTTCCTCTTTTTCTGTCCAGCGAGCATTGGTCTCCCAGCGGACTTTGCATGCATCTATGTTTTCTCTTTTTTCTGTCCAGCGAGCATTGGTCTCCCAGCGGACTTTGCATGCATCTATGTTTTCTCTTTCCCATCCAACAGGTATCGATTTCCCAGCGGACAGCAAGAAATCTCCAGTCCGGGCTTCCAAAAAACGCGCCACTCCACCGTCAGCCGGTAGGGCCCATCAGCCCGACGCTGTGAGCTGCTCCCGTCGGAAGCTACATGGGCCCTCCTGGTTGGGCATTCCCAAATCTTGTCAACCAGTAGGGCCCGTCCGCCCAGCGCAGTGAGCTGCTCCCGCCAGAGGCAACACGGGCCCTCCTGGTCAGGCGGCATAAATCACGCTGTTCATCGGCCGGTAGAGCTCGCCTGTCTGACGCTGTGAGCTGCTCCCGTCGAGAAACGGTGCGAGCCCTCCCGACTGTTGTTCCAAATTACGACTGCTCCCCGTTCGTGAGCCAGCAGGCCCTCCTGCTCAAGCAACCAGGCTTATTCTCAAAACGCCAGCCCGCCAAATTCTCTGCGTTTTGGGGGGTCTTAAGTCTGGCGGCTGTCCTTTGCTCTTTTTGCCTTTTGGGGGAGTACTCTGGGTTCGGGCAAAATTCCGAGCTCGGAGCCCTCCCCCCGGACAGCACGCCAAATACGCATAATCTTTACTCTGTTTAATTGATGTAAGTGTGAACTCGTGAAATGATGTTTTATTAACAAAGTTCGGGAGGAGCACGTTCAGATAATTAAACCTAATTAAACACACGTGGAGCACATTCAGATAATCAAACCTAATTAGACACGAGTGGTGCTTAATCAACGAGTTAAGCGCTGTGTATATATACAGCAAACTTACCTCCGTTCATTGACAGTTTAACAGCATCCCTCCACCACCCCATCTCCTCACTCATAGTCCTAATACTCTTACAACAACGGGGGGAGTACTCTGGGTTCGGGCAAAATTCCGAGCTCGGAGCCCTCCCCCCGGACAGCACGCCAAATACGCATAATCTTTACTCTGTTTAATTGATGTAAGTGTGAACTCGTGAATCCCCTGTGGTTTAAACTGTAGAGGACAGCCAAGCACTGCCAAGAACATGAAAAATGGACAAACTGATCAAATGAAACTTGTACTCACACTAGCCAGTTTGAACCGTGCCCGAGTGCGTTTGACCACCAAAGCGCGGTTCGTTTGACTAGTGTGAGTGCTCCGAACCGTGCCCGGGCGCGGCTCGATTAGCCGGCCCTGGCCCGCTTGGAAGAGGTGGGCCAGAGCACGGTTCGGTTGGACTCGGGCGCGGTTCGCATGCAGTGTGAGCGCTAACCGTGCTGGAGCACGGAACAGGACGCGTGGCGTCATGGTTTTGCGACGCTCCAAAACCAACACAGTCCGTAATCAAAGCTGCAAAGTCCTTGCTGCACTTCAGCTGGTACCTTGCAAACCTCCTCATACGAGCAGCACGATTACGTGAAAATGTTCGCGCCACTAAGGCGACGCATCTGTTTAACAACAGGCTGTGGACCAAACGACACAAAATTATCCACAAAGAAAACAGAGCGATGGACTTCATTGTGTTCAGAGAGCGCCGCTCTTCTTGTTTATCCCGAAACCGTCGCACGCACCATAATGACGTAAGCGTGCTCCGGCACGAATGTTGAAACCCTATGTGAGTGCAGGCCAGAGGGGGAGTGGGGAGGGGGGACAATCGTACTCGGGCCCGGTTCATGGCAACCGTGCCTAGTGTGAGTACACCCTAAGGCAATGCATGTCACTTTGTAAAAGCAAATGCATAAATTAAAATGTAAATGCAAAATAGAACTAATATATAGAATATACAGCATCAGGTTATTCAGCAAGTTTATGGAGGAAAATCCTGTAAGTATTAAAGAGGGATACAGTGATCATTATCTCAAAATCAAAACCCATACGCAATATGTCATTCATTTTGAAATAAATAGTAAATAAATGGACACGAAATATTTATTTAATACATGTCACTTAGAGAATGAAGTGATTCTAAGACACAACTGCCTCTACAGGTACGTTGGATAATGCTTGCCACGGACAATGGTATACAAAAATATTTGAGCACAGAATTCAGCAATTTACCAATCAGAATCAAGAATTACAGATATTCAGTGTTATACAAAATGGGGTGGTTAATATATATAATAATATGCACACAAACTACTGTTCAAACGTTTGGGGTAAAATATATGCTGTTCTTTTAAACTTTCTATTCATCAGAGTATCCTGAAAAAATGTATAACAGTATCAACAAAAATAGGGTCTCTTTTTAAAATTGATAGTAAAACTAAATGTTTCTTGACCAGCAAATCATATATGATTTCTGAAGGATCATGTGACACTGAAGACTGGAGTAATGATGCTGAAAATTCAGCTTTGCCATCAAAGCAGTTAATGATACTTTCAAATATATTCAAATAGAAAACATTTATTTTTAACTGTAATAATATATCCCAGTATTACAGTTTTCACTGTATTTTTAATCAAATAAATGCATTATGAAATATTAAAAAAATATTACAGACCCCAAACTTTTAAGTGAAAAATAAATGTTTTACCATATTCAAATTTTGACAACAAAGCACTATAAGTGTACTGTAATTAAAGGCTTTGTTTTAAATGAGTAAAACCGGTCGAATAACATGTTGCTGTATGTACACACCTAATTCTTTTTACATCTCCCTGTTATCTTTCACATGCAGCAATTCTTTCCATCGTGGGGAACTTGATGGTTCTTGTGATGGCGTACAAGCGGTCAAACCACATGAAGCCCCCAGAGTTTCTAAGCGTGAATCTTGCTGTGACAGATCTGGGAGCAGCCGTCACAATGTACCCGCTGGCTGTAGCCTCAGCTTGGAACCACCATTGGATAGGGGGAGACGTCACCTGTGTGTACTACGGCCTGATGGGATTTTTCTTTGGAGCAGCTAGCATGATGACCCTGACAATTATGGCTATTGTTCGCTTCATCGTGTCTTTAACGCTCCAATCACCCAGTGAGTTCCTCAGGGGTCTATCATTAGACCTATTTCTATTCTGAATTCAGCATGAAATCCTAATGAGTGATACAACCTCAAGGCTACTAGCTGAGATACAATTGAATTGCCTTTTCTTACCATTTTAATGTTCTGTTCAGAATGACAATGATGTATGTTTCAGAATGGTAGTAGTTCACATTTTTCCAATACATTAATCTGAGCTAATAAAACTCAGTTTACAGATATTATACATGCACTTTTCAGAAATGTAACCCATATCCTTTCTAGTAACTTATTTCTGTTTGGAGTCAGTTTGACCCCAGCTAAAGCACATTGCAGATTAACACAATAAAAGAAATCAAAGAATCTTAGAATTTATTGCAGGTTTCCATAAGACCCAATACATATCCCACATTTTCATGGAAGATGGTTGATGCGTGTTATCTGTTCTCATAAGATCTTAAAAAAGTCCTGTAAATATCTGTAGGTATTAAATGCATATTCCAAGTTTAGTACAATTTAAGGTTAATCAACAGCATTTGAGATAAGAATTATTACAATTTCCAATTAAAATCTGAGTTTCAGTGCGGCGCTTATAACAAAATGTAAATGTTAAAACGATCACTGTTTCAACAGTATAGACTCTAAAACCCTAAAACGACTGTAAAAAGGATTTAAACAACTTTACAGCTCAAATAATACACAGAAGAACTAAGTCAAGTGCTCTTATATAGTTATAAGCTTCAGATTTCTGCTTTTAAATCTTCCAGAAATTGTCTCTATTCACTTTAATTGTAAATGCCTCTGCATTTTTGGTTTTATTTTTAACAGATTTTTTTTTTGTAGCCTAATCAACATCAACACAAATGCTGTCAAATGAGCTAAACTTGTACCAAACCTGGAATATTCCCTTGACCATAATTTTCAAGCTATTAAAATGAGCCTTGAGGTCTCTAAGACCTCAAACAGAACATGAGAGCTAATTTAAACATCAAATATTACAATATCAGTCTTGAGAGTAAAAATAAGGGATTTTTTTCTTTTTTTTTGCAAAGAGCATGGAGGGAGATTTAGTAGGCCAATACAAACTAAAAAATATATACATTTTGATAAGTCTCAAACATATTTAAATAACAAATATTTATTTCAATGACGATAACTTGTCATTTAAATGTTGACAAATGTACTTCCCTCCTACAGTTTCAACAGTCCAGCAAAGAAAGAAAATGAGATCACCACTAAAAGAGTGTTTTTTTCTTCTTCAGTACGATATAAAATAATATCTCACATTCGACATCCTCCAAATAGGTTGTGCAAACAGCCAATCATTTCTGATTTTTTCCACTATAATACCAAAACAAGGTTTCGATATCCAGGAATAATTTGACAGACGGAGCGATCCGGTTTCATCTCTGTAAGAGGTCGTGTTCATGCTGAGAGCTGCTGGGGAGCTCTGTTACAGCACATAGTTGTCATTTACACACAAACTCAACATGACAGTTCAGAAAGCTAACTTAATAGAGTTTTTTGGTTGTCTCATGCCCGGGAGACAAACACTGAATTATTGAAATGAAACTTGGCATGGGAAAACTGCCGTGTAGAGAAATAAATGGATCTCTTGTTTGATCTTGTTGCGAGACAAATCCTGATAAAAGAGCTAAAAGAGATACTACACCAGAAGAGCTCATTCAGTAGGCGGTGTTGAGTTAAGCAACCACCCAACCTAGCAACCATATAACAATGCCTTGGCAACCCCCTAGCAACCACCCAGAACACCCTAGCAACTGCATAGCAATGCCCTAACAACCACCCTGAACATCCTAGCAACCACCTACACTATGGTAACATCTCAGGCCACCCTAGCAACCATTCAGAACATACTAGCAACTACAAAGCAGCACCCTACATCAATCCCGGGATGGGGACCTAGAAACATTGCTGCGATCAGTCCCGGAACATTCAGACTCTCATTCCAAATACGATTTTTATGTATTTTCGATTGAAATCTGATTAGGCAAGTGTAAATCAAGTGGCAAAAAAATCACATGAAATGCAATTTTTTACAAATCTGTTTCGAGCTACATTCATGTGGTTTGAAATCCTATTCAAAACGCATTTCTGGAAATCCGTTTCAGTCTGACTGCCCTGATCGGATTTTGCGTGTTTTATGTGACTTTCTCATGCCACGTAAAATGTAAACGTCAGATGAATAGGGAACATGCTGAAAGTGGCTGTAGAAACAAGGTTGTGTTGTTGCAAAGTGCCGAACGCTGCCTCACAAGATGCAGTAGTCCAGCACGGCGGCTACACATTGTCATGCTGTAAATAAGACAACATCTCTATTGCAAACCCCTCCATGGTGCAGTTGCTGTTGTTGTTGGCGTATACCTAACAATGCAACGCCATTGCCATAGGAACCAATGCAGATATTCCGGAAAACGAAAGAGCGCCATGGACACACAAATCGAATCTGAACAGTTGCGATACACAATGTGGACAGTCAATAATTTTAGATCAGATTCCAATTGGATACACAAATAGGCTAATCGGATTTGAACTGACAGTGTGAACTCGGCCTAAAGGGCCGTACACACCGGGACGAATATCGGCATGCGTTATTCGCCAGCGTTTTTCAACGCGTTTTTTGTGTTCACACCCAAGCGATTTTCGCTGACGTTGAGCCGAGTGAACATGCAAATTCATTCCTTGACATTAGATGGCGCTTAATGTAAAACAGAAATAGTCCTATTTTGTAGTCGGTGTCGCATTTGTCATATAGTTCTTTATGTTCCGACACCAACGAGACCAGCAGCTCTATACATTCATCTTGCCTTGCATCTTCCTCGTCTTATTTCTTCCCGGCAGTGTAGACCATAGATATCCATAATAAAGGCCATTGGCCAGCAGCGCGGACGAGACATCAAGCCTTTATTATGGATATCTATGGTGTAGACGCTACTTGGCGCATCTTCTTCGCCGTTACGTGTGTGCTCGGCAAGACCGTTTTATGTTTGAACCAAGTTGTGTTTTACTGTAACTTCAGAAGCTCCAGACACGTGAGCAAAAGCGCCAATCTCATTGGTCGGATAGTTTTTGACGTGGCGCGTCAAACCAAAAAAATGAACCTGAGGCGTTTTTTAAAAAATGACGCTTTTACGCGTGGCGTTTTTCGCGTCGGTGTGCACACTTACATTGGCGCCCTTTGTTTAGTCACGAGGCGTTAAACGTCGGCGAATATCGCGCGCGAAATTCGTCCCGGTGTGAATAGGCCTTTAGGCCCTGTTTACACCTGGTATTAAGATGAGTTTTGGTTGATTGGATCACAAGTGGACGACGCTAAATACAGGTGTAAACAGGGCCTAAAACGTTTTGAGCTTGTCCACTTTCGACCACTTCCAGAGGTAGTTGAACCGGATTGCTTTCATAGTGTAAACGTCCATGTGGTCGAATGCGTTACAGCCGCAAAAGACCGTCTACTCTCTGGCTACTGACCTAATGCGTAAACATTATGGGAAACGTGCTAGCAAGACGGGATTTAAACTTTGGCTGGAGACCCAAGTTTGATTTGAAGACGAAAAACGTTCCAAGCACAATGTTCTCTCAGCATTCCTGATTTCTAACACACACTCACAGCGTTTGGCTGGTCTTGCCGCTTTCAGAGCAGAAACTAAAGCTGCTGCTTTCCGTATGTTTTTCCGTCGTCTCCAGACGCGTTCGTATGTAAATTGCACAAGCTTATATTGTCCATTAGATCGAAAGATCTGAAACACATACATTTACACGCCCATAGAACCTCCCCTCGAAGAAATCAGGACAGAAGTGGTTGAAAGTGGACAAAAGAGACACACGGTTGTAAATGGGTATGTGTCTCCCTCATCTACTGCTGATCCGATCGATCGAAACGCATCTTAATACCAGGAGTAAACAGGGCCTAAAATACAATGATTGATAGGCAAGAAATAATCTTGATAATCTTTAATAATCTTGATCTCTGAAAAATCGTTTTTTTGGCCACAAAATCTACAATGTTGCTCACAGTCACATGCCACTTCTACTGTGAGCTCAAAAAGGTCATGGGAGTGTATGATATTGATGACATCACCATAGCTCTTTTCTGACTTGTCAAGCTGACAGTGTTACAACTGACCCCGTGTTACAACACTCCTCGGTCTCCCGCTAAATGAAAGGATCTTGTTTGTGTTAGTTTACTGGCAGAAGCTTATATATGTGTATCTGTAATCTGGAAAACCACACATTCCCCAGTTTTCTAGGAAAAGACTCAGTATGCACAGTATGTTTCCAGCTCTGTCTCTGTCTTAATGAAGCAAACACATGGCAGTGGTTTCAAACCGCTCTCTCAGCCAAGTTCAGGCACATCTAGACTAGAGATACAGTTGCCCATATGTTTGTGGCATTTAGTGTGAACTCAGCGGGCAGTTATACAGGTCAGCTTGTACAATTCCCCTTATATTAATGTTCTTGGTGATGCTTGTAAACAAAATAATTGTTCAACCACTTACATAGGCTAAATGTGCTACAGAGATGGAGGCCTTTAGGCCTTAACTTGTCCATTACAAAGATAAATGTCTGAGTATCTACCAGTAAAATAAGATAAGTGGAACAAACTGAATAGAAAACAGGATTTTTTTTTGTTCTTTAAAAAAATGAAATGAATTCAGTGTGGACCAATTCAAATAAATGATAAAATATATGAAACATATATAAAAAAAGTTTTGTAAAATAGAGGGATTTGAATAAAATTAGAAATATAATTTAATTATTTACATTCTATTCTATTTATATTTACATAACAATCAACCCATATGGGTTCATTCAATCACTCCTTTAGATGAATGCAAAATCATTGCCACTTCACAAGCTAATTGCAAGTTCATTAAAGGGGCGGCTGGCAGTGAAAAGGCAGCTTAAAAATCATAGCATGAAAAATGGTCATTGAACTAAATAATACATACTTTTTTTCCATTTTAATCCCCTTTTCATACCTAGAAATGTCTGTCTCTGTCCATAGAAGAGAAAATCAGCAAAAGGAGCGCAAAGATACTTGTGGCAACCACATGGCTGTACGCTCTAATCTGGGCTCTTTTCCCTCTGATTGGATGGGGAAAATACGGCCCAGAGTCCTTCGGCCTGTCCTGTACTCTGGCCTGGGGGGACATGAAGGAACAAAGCCAGTCTTTTGTCATTACCATCTTCCTCATGAACCTCATTCTCCCAGCCATCATCATCATGTCGTGCTACTCTGGTATCGCTCTGAAACTATACGTCACCCACAAGTCAATGGACGACAGCAACCACATACCCAACATGATAAAGATGCAGCGGCGGCTCATGGTGGTGAGTGTGTTTGATTTACAGTGTGTACCAGCTACACTGCTAATATGAAACATAAGATCTGCACATTAAGCTTTCATCTGAACGTGAAATGAAACCCAAGAACGTCAGATGCGTTCTAGCTTTCATTTTTAGTCATGTTATTTAAGTCACAATGGCCAAAAATCAATTGTATATAATTTTGATTTTGATGGCTGCAACACACTCCAAAGAAAGTTGGGACAGAGGCATGTTTACCACTGTGTAACATCACCTTTCCTTTTAATTACACTTTTTAATAATTTGGGAATTGAGGATACTAATTGTTGCAGTTTTGCAAGTGGAATGTTTACCCAATCTCGCCTGATATAAGACATCTGCTTTAACAGTTTGTGGTAATCGTTGTCTGATTCTCCTCTTCATGAGGGCCATACATGAAGGGCCATAAAAGGGTCATACATTTTCAATAAGAGACCGATCTGGATTGCAGCCAGGCAGTGTCTAGAAACTCTGTTATAGCATGTGCAGGATGAGGCCTGACATGGTCTTGCTTCCCAGGAAAAATGTCATGGCAGTACAATCCATATATAAGCCTCCACACCTTCACACATATGCAACTCACCCATGCCACTTGCACTGATGCACCCCCATTCCAAGACAGATGTTTGCTTTTGCAGCTGTCGCTGATGAATGTCTGTATGGTCCCTTTCATCTTTAGGACTGAGGACTGAGAACTGGATGTCTGTTTTATTCCAAAAACAAGCTGAAACATGGATTCATCTGACCACAGCACACATTTCCACTGTCTTCTAGACCATCTGAGATGAGCTCGGGCCCAGAGAACTCGGCAGCATTTCTGTGTCGAACAAATGTATAGCTTCTTCCTTGCGTAACAGAGATTTGAGTTGCATTTCTTGATGCAGCGTCAGACTGGGTTAAGTGACAATGGTTTTCCAAAGTACTCCCGAGCACATGGTTTCTCTCGATGGTTTCTCATGCAGTGCCACCTGAGGGCTCAAAGGTCACGCACATTCAACTTGCCTTGCCCTATACATTTCTCTGGATTCCCTGAATCTTTTCACAATATTATGTATGGAAGATGGTGAAAGACATAAATTCGTTGCAATCTTGCATTGAGAAATGTTATTTTTGAATTCTTTGACAATTCTCTCATGATTGTAGTGTGTTGCAGCCATCAAAATCAAATGTGTATGTTTACAAAATACAATTATGTTGTCAAAACATCGGAAAACTTTTCATTGTACTTTTGTCAGTTAAAAAAAGGTTCAAGATAATTAACACATCATAGATTGTGGATTTTATTGCATTTTACAAAATGTCCCAACTTTTCTGGAAATGGGGTTTGTATTAACAAAAACTATAATAGTTTATCAATGATACTAAAATAAGACTGTTGTGCTCATACTAATGAGAGTTCCTGTGAACAATGTGAAAAATCATTTCAGTTTGTTTCCGCTCTCCATGCTGTTGTATGGCTTCAGAAGAGTTAGAATAGTGAAATACTTGTATGGACTATTAAGAGCTTGACTGTTTCCCATTGTCTGCTGTCAGTATATGGAAAAGGAAAGCCTTGACAAGCGGAAGAAAAATTATATTGGGTTCAACCTTTAGTTACCAATCCTTACATCACGCCTCACTCAAACTCTGATTCTTTCAGCAATCTCAACCTGGACATTTTTATTCCTAGTGTAATGATGCTGAGGGATATGTCTCCCTGTAGTATGAATTGGATTTTTAAACATAACTCATTCAAAACTGAGCTCTATTCATCCCTTTGAGTTTTCGAAAGCAACAGTTATTCCAAAATACTGTAAATTATTCAATTATCACTGGCTTTCTTTTCCCATGTTCTTATCTGTGATTGTTCTTCCCACATGAGACCATTTCAAAGCTGCTGTATGCAGAAGCTTAACATCACCTGAAGGTTGTTTACAGACACATTCAGCATTCATATTTTCATAGTATTGAATGTATTTAGAAAGAGGAGCCAATCACTACACTGTAGCATTTCAAGACACTAAATAGGCCGTGTTATTTATAATGATCTGTTGGTCAATGGGTTCCATGTCGGCCCTATCTGAAATAGCCCCAGTATGAGCCCTAAAAGGGTTTGCCAATGGGTTCTATGTTGGCCCTATCTGAAATAGCCCCAGTATGGGCCCTAAATGGATTTGTCAATGGGTTCAATGTTGGTAATATCTGAATTATCCCCAGTATGGGCCCTAAATGGGTTTATCAATGAGTTCAATGTTGGCAATATCTGAATTATCCCCAGTATGGGCCCTAAATGGGTTTATCAATGAGTTCAATGTTGGCAATATCTGAATTATCCCCAGTATGGGCCCTAAATGGGTTAGCCAATGGTTCTTCGGGTCTGTCTGACTTAGCCCATGCTGGGCCAACATGGAACCCATAGACAAACCCATGTAGGGCCCATACCTCAAGCCCATATTGGCCTCACCATGCAATGCTGGCCAGGAACAAACATCAAAACAGATCTCAGCATGTTATTCTTTGCTTTTACAGATCGCTGTGTTGATCAGCATTGGCTTTGTCGGCTGCTGGGCGCCGTATGGCATCATAAGCCTGTGGTCCATCTACCGGCCTGGTGATTCAATCCCTCCTGAGGTCAGCATGCTACCGTGTCTGTTCGCCAAGACGTCCACTATATACAACCCTTTCATCTACTATGTATTCAGCAAGAACTTCAAACGAGAAGTCAACCAGTTGAGCTGCCTCTGCAGGAGATCCAACATCTGCCGTACATCCGATGCCAAAATCGACCCGGAGAATACCATTTTTCTGGTGTGTGACCCAAACAAGTCCAAAGCTGGAGCAGGGGAACAGTCATTAGAGAAGAGCAAGGAGAATGAGACTCAACTTATGCCGAATCAGTAGGATCTGTGACTTGCACTCTTATGAATGAATATATACAGAATATTAGTTAACAGGAACTTTTGCCTGGTTAAAGTCACCATGAAATCAAAAGAAACTTGTTTTTTTTTATGTAATATTACAGTATTTATTATAAATGATTTTTCTGTGCACATCATTTTTTTTTTTTTATTCATGTGCGCTCATAATCTTTAATCAAAATAACTTCCCCTCCCTCTTGCAGCAACAACTCTTCTCTTCTCTTGTGACGCGTGAGTCTGCATGAGGGCGGGACAACCTGTCACTCACATGAGATCCACCAATAGCAAACCACAACCATCCAATAATCCAATCAATTCCCATTGCTAAAAAAAGTCCTGCCCAAAAATGTTTCTTGTTTGAGAAGCCATTTAACTCAGATATACATCACATTAGGGACAAAAAGACTATCACAACTTCCATTTCACGCTGACTATAATGGAGTGGTCCTTTTGTGTGTTTTTTATTTATTTATTCCACAAGCTGCAATACGGATCCATATCATCACAATGTATGGCATAGCACATTGCTGTGTGACACCGTATTATCAAGGGGTTTATGTGTAATGTGATGGCTTTATAAAAAGGGCATTTCATTGAGATATCATATATAGTCTGTTGTTTCAGCATGCTAAGTACTCTCAAATAGATTTCAAGACCATTGATATTTACTCTAAAAGTTCACCCAAAAATGAAAATCCAATCATTATTTACTCACCATTTTTCTGTTCCAAACCTGTAATGTCTTTCTTTCTTCTGTGGATCTAAACGCCAAACTCCATAATGGACAAAAAAGCACTCATAAAGATAAATCTAGTCCAAATATGACCAGTGCGCAATATTCCAAGCCTTCTAAACTAATACAGTACCGTTGTGTCAGGAGACGTTGTGTCAATGGTGTCAGGGTTTTTAAACCCTGTGCTAATAGAGTATTGCAGGAATGATGTATTTTTGTAGACCAAAACCCGAAAATGAGATTTTAGCACTTCCAGTTCCATCTTCCTGAAATCAATGTTTTTTTTTAATGGGTCTTTGGTTAAATGCCTACAATAAGGTCCGTGGTTCACACATGCTCCAGATATTCTCATGGTTTAATTTATGACAAAATACATACATATACATACCCTCTTGTGATTTTTTTAAAAGCTTTTACTTGTCTTGAAAAAAGGTTGTTGCTTAACAAGTGTCTGAGGTTGTCGGGGACATTAAATATGTCATCAGCCAAACAGGAAAATTCATCTATTCACTAGTTTACTTTTACAGCTTTGTGCTGTTTATAATCAAAGCTCTTGCAAACTATTCTAACTCGAACTTTCAAGGAAAATATTTTTTTTAAATAAAGACTTTGTCAGAAGCTTAGTGATGGTGATGTCAAAGTTCTGTAGTTCGTTTGTAGCCTACGTTTAGCTTTTTACTTCTGCCGATTGTATAGGCTTCAAAATTCATAAAGCTGTGTTCATTTGTGAAAACTATAATGGTGTAAGAATCATAAACTTTTGTTATTTTCTGCAATAATCCAAAAACCAATGAAAAAAAATCCTATTGGGTTTTTGTCAAGGGAACCAGGGTGATGCGAACTTCTGGGTTGGCTACAAAAATATATAATCACTGCAGCGCTCTATGCTGCCTTCAAGTGCACTTCCGAAGCTTGTACTTATGAGTCAGGATTTCGTTGTTAGGAGGAAATCCATTCAAAACACATGGTATCAAAACTAAATGTTACATAAAGCAAACCATGAAAGGTGAGTGATTAACACACTTGTTGTCTATAAAGTCCTGTTAACACCTGGTATTAAGATCTGTTGTCCACTTTCAACCACGTGTGTCCTGAGTTCTTCAAGAGGAGGGTCTATGGGCGGGTAAATCTATGGGTTTTTTCAGATCTTTCGATCTAATGGACAAAATAAGCTTGTGCAATTTACATATAAACGGACCCGAAGACGACTGAAGAACATACAGAGAGCATCAGCTTTCGTTTCTGCTCTGACAGCTGCAAGACCACGTTGAACACACGTGTGTGTGTTAGAATCAGGAATGTTGAGAGAACAAATTTGTGCTTGTTATGTTCTTTGTCTTCAAACCAAACTTGGGTCTTCAGCCGACAAAGTTTAAATCCCGTCTGGCTAGTGCACTTCTCATAATGTTTAGGTCAGTAGGTGGAGGGTAGGAGAACTTTTGTGGCTGTTCGAACACATTCGACCACATGAGCATTTACACTACGAAAACAATCCGGTCAAATGTGTTTTCAACTACCTCTGGAAGTGGTCGAAGATTTTAGACCCCGTATACACCTGTATTTAGAGTCATCCACTTGTGATCCAATCGACCAAAACACATCTTAAAACCATGAGTAAACAGGGCCTAAGTTGTTTTGTACATCACAACACCTTTAAAATAATTGAAATACAGCATGTAAAATTAATAAGAATAACAATATTTCCTTCTCCACTTGAAGATCACATAAGTGTCTTATTCAGTTTTCAGAGTTTCAAGTCACAGGTTTTTGGAACAAGGTGAGTAAATGATGACACAATCTTCATTTTTGGGTAAACCAATTCCAAGTCATATAGTGGTCCATCAGTATTTTCAGTGTGTCTGCATCATCCTCATTTTAATGGTATGTGAAAACTTGTTAAATGTTTGATTGATTTTGGTGGTTAGTTTTGAAAGATGTCGAAACCCAGCACAACTAAACCGTCCTCAGGAAAGAAAGAAAAAAGAACATCGAGCCACAGAACATGTGGATGCTTTGATGAACTGTAATTGAATGACTCTACTGTGGCTAAAAACCGGGTTGTTTGTATCTTGGGGTGTCGTAAAAGACTGTGGTCATTTATCTCATCAGTGGGGAAGAACAGACACTTTGCTGTTACGCAGGTAGTTTCCCACCGTTTACGAGAGTGTCTGCACTGGTTCACACAGCAGGCTGAAGCACATGATATTCTGTTATGAAACAACATTTTCATTGTGTTTAACACTTGCGGAAAAACATAAAATCCCATGAAAGCAACAAATAGGCCTAAATGAAAAAGATTTGAATAAAATACAAATATTAACCTTAAAAAATGGATGTTGATGCCAGAGTAGTTGCAGGGACCCAGTTTTCGATATTTAAAGGTACACTATGTAACCTCTAGCGGTTAAACAAAAAAAACTGCATGATATTTGTGGAAGAACATTATTTTGTTGTGCTTCAGCTCTGTGTGACTGTGTGGATGAATATGGTTATCCTGCTGCTCATAAAACATTCACTATAGGCTTAAGAGATAGAACCAGTTTATGGAAAGGATCTCAAGCTGAAGACGTTACTCTCTCTACCTATTTATAGACATGGTACTTCCTTGAAAAGATTTTTTTAGATAATTATTTACAATCATCTCTTAGAGAGCTACATATGGCAGTTTACCTGTTCAATAAAAAAACATTACTCACCAGTTGAATAATAATAATAAACTTCTCCACGTCGCTTTGACAACATATAAAATCTCTGAAAAGCCAAGCTAATGTTGATTCTTGTTCTATTACGAGTTCTGTTGCGTTCTCTTTTTGCCACACCAGACACGCGTCAGAGTAGCCGGAGCAACTTTTCTCTATTTACGGATATGACGAGACACACGGGCGAGTGACGCATGTACGCAATTTCCAGCGAAAACCATCCTGACAGGTCTAAAATATAAACACTTATAGGCTTAGTACATGTTTTGGAAGAAGGACTGATGATATTAACTCATTTAAATTGTTAATTTTGAACAGAAAAAAAGTTATATAGTGTACCTTTTAGGGTTAATATCAGCATCTATAGAGCTAAACATAAATATTTGATTTGTTACGTCAGACACATACCAAGAAATGCTTTTAAACTTGCCGTTTCACAGACTGTTTCTATTTCAGATTTGAGATGAACATGCATATTTGATAAAGGTGTTAAAACCCAGTGAAATGTCCCAGTTGGAGCACCACTTGTCCTGTCAGATCAAGTCTTTTGTGTAAACTCACTGCACTTAATATGTTCACCAAATCCTTTCCTAATAAAACAGTACATCGTGGAATTTTAGTTAATTAACGATAATTAATTCGCCCAGAAACGCAATTGAATCTTATTTATTTAGAGTGGATTCAGCCACAGATGGATTGGCCAGAAGTTGCGTTTGGTGGAATTGTTGGAAGAACTTCAAATTCCTCATTGGTGTACTTTAAAAATGCTAGAATTTAGCCAAATCTTGAGGGCAAGAAAGTAGAAATGCTTTAAAGGGTCACTCCACCCATTTCAACATTAATCTTTATTGAAAGTGGGTTATATATGTAGTCGAAATGTAAAAGAAATTTTGAATTTGGTGCCCTCTTGACCGAGAAAAGACAGAAAATAACTTTAGGGCGCACTTGTATGTAAGACAACAACTCCCACAATGCACCACGTTGCACAGCTCCGCAAGCCACTCCCACTAATCCAGAACAGCGCAAACATCAGAGAAATCACTCTTCCGTCTACAAGAAGGCTAGCTGCTAAATGAGTTTGAAATTCATTTCACAAAAAATGTCTAGTTAGTTGGCTGTGGCGAGCAGGACGAGGGCGAGGGACGTGAGAGGACGACGCGAGTGATAATGAATGGCACCTGTGCAGCGGTCTCATATCTCTCACGGAGGAGCGGAAGCACAAAAGGAACAGGCCTGATTTTATGTTTTGTTTCTGTTGTGTGTGGCCAGCTGGCTTATACTTTTGTTTTGTATTTGTTTATTTTACTATTAAAATGTTTAAATGTTCGCCGGTTCCAGCCTCCTTCTTCCCACAACAACGAACCCCGTTACATTGGCAAACTCATTAGTGAATTACTCGTTTGTATTTCTTTCTATTTGGTGAATTATTGCATGATACCTGGATTTTCAGTCAGGCGAAACTAGGATGGTTCACATCACAACACAAACGTCCGTGTGGTCGTCTGATTCAGAGATTTCGTCTAGGAGAAATTGCGATCGTTGAAATTCTCTGCAGCAGACGAACTCTATCTGTGTCCGTAGCGCACAGCGAGAGCACAGGCACCAGCAGTCCGCCTCCTGGTCCTCCTTCAGCCTCAGCTGCTCTTCACTATACTGCGGCTCGTAAAGATAGCCACGAACAGCGGATTCGAGCA